TCTTGCCACTTTTAAATGAGCTCGAAGACGAAATTTCTGGAGTCCAAACGGCATTAGCCCGAGTTCGCTATGTGCCTTTCACACATATAATCTCAGATTATTGAAAGGAATTAAAATCCTTGAGCTGAGAGGGTAGGAAGCGGCTCTGGTGGCGTAACGGATAGCGCACTCGCCCGGAAAGCGTGAGGTGCGGGTTCGACTCCCGCCTGGTTCGACCTTTGCCCATAATTCAGCATTCTTGTGACAATTTTTTTCGGAACGCGAACGGCGGTGTAGAACAGCAGTTAGGCGCTGTTTGTCGACGGGGGGCATTTTGTATTATCATTGCTTCCCTAGTTCCGGTTTACAAATCTCACTCTGGTAAAACTTGTGAACTCTTGTGAAGCTGAAGTAAGATCGTCTAGCCACTATCCTAAAACGTGTCAACTCGAGAAACGGCTGCCTAGATGGGTCGACACATCTATGGAAAGCAAAATGCCCCCCCGTCGACAAACTGCGCCCAGCAGTTACCATATTGTTTCTTCTGTTTACTTTAAGGAATGCGGCACTTTGCTTTTTGGTAGGGATTCACTCAACTTGCGGCATCAGTACTAATGATTATCCACTTTTCTCTTTGTCTTTGACCACAGAAAACTGCAATTTATGCTAGTTCATAAATTCCGTAGTGACTCACGGAGATAGAAACTCAATATCTATCAATATTACAAAACTAATCGTCAGCTTACTTGTAGCTTCCTCAAACCACGTTCAGCATTTTCAATGGCTCATAGCGGGATCATGCACTGCGCACCGAAGCGCCTTCAACGTGCTACGGTCCATGAGATTGCCCGAGTTGTAGAACCGCAGCCAGGTGCTTGACTGATTGAACTTTCGCTCCAAAAAGGCAGGAACTTCTTCGCAGAACGGCTATGTGACTCCTTGTTCGATCGAAAGAAACGCAAGGCAGGTTGTAATGGCTACATATTTGTGGTTGTTCTTGCCCTGGCTTCAGCTGGTTTGCTTAGCTTTCGCTTTCTGGTTCTGGGGAACGTGTTCGATTACCAATAGGTAGACGTCCTATTTCGAAGAAGGTGCTCAGGTTCACAGCGAAGTGTGCCGCTTTCGTCAAGTTCAATCAATTGCATGGAAGCTTTAGGATCCTGCGACATAGGGTGCGCGCCGCCTTGGGTGCGGAGTCTCCACCCATGTGCTATCACAGTTAATGATCGTAAGATAAAACAGGAAACGATGAAGTTTTCAAAGATGAAAGTGACATGTGCTACTGAAAAGAGCTGATAGTGTTACGCCAACAAGCAAGAAATCATCCAAGCCAGTTTTCTCTCACTGAGCGTTCATACAGAGTTTAAACGGTCCCCAGTTTCCTATTGTGAACGCGTCCAATGAAATTAACGCTTCCTGTTCCATATTTGAATGCCATCATGCTCCGGTTCGCTGTGGACGATGGGGCGTGTCCGCGCGGCGCCGACCCGCTTTTGGGTATGTGGCAAGAGAATCGTAATTCGCCGGGTTGTTGGGTGTCGCGCGACGTCGCGACCACAAATGACGACGGTTCCAGGTGAAGGATGGCGACAACAAGCACTTCAAAACCGGAAATTGTTATGAATGTATACGATGACCGACTCTACGTGAGGTCCGGTGCTCCACTCGACAGGTTAGCACGACTATGTAACTGTCGCGCCCTCTCCGCGCGCGTCGGAACGGCAAATTACGACTCCCTTGCCCGTCTCGCCGCTTGTTTCTTTTTTTTGGGGGGAGGGGGGGGCAAGTAACAGGACTGTATCATATCGTTCGTAACAGTCGTGTTCCACCTGTTGTTGTCGCTTACTCATTTGAACAACTGAGAAAGGATTTGACGGCGTACTAAACGCTGCCGCCACCAAACGCTCTATCATCTCAGCGAACCATACAGTTCTGCCTTCATACATTGTACCATGAGGATAAAACCACACTGTCCACAAATTCAGAGGTAAATTCCGCGTTGATTTGGGCGGAGACGAAGGCCCATCTTATTGGTACGCCCCGCTCTACTGCACCAACGTAGGGAGCATACTATTAGAGAGCCACAATGATTCCTTTGATAAGTATTATTTGAGCAACCCGCCATCGGTAAAAACCTTTATCCAATTAGGTTTTAGCAAAACTGCCTTCTTTGGAGTATTTTCAGTGAACGAAGTGTTATTTATTAAACATTCACCGCCAATCATTCAATCTGTGCAGAACTCCTTGCGCAATTGCCATTTAGTGTCCGTTTACAACAAAACTACATTGGGCAGCGTTCAAACTCGCCGTGCAGCGCACGGTGCGCTGTAACGCGCTGTACAGCGCCTTGCTGCGCGACGAGTCTGTACGCTGCCTCAGGAAGTTTGAACCGTCGAGCGAGTGTCAGCAGCAACACACGGAGACGGAAATGATCACAGCCTTCCGTCACTCACAGTTTAATGTCGTTTTCATTTAGACGTGCAGTTCATTCCACGGGGCAAAAAGGGGCGTTCATAAATGTAATTACGAGTACGGCGACAGGTGCTCAGTCCCGAACTGATTCTCCTCCGTTAGGCAGCGTTCAGACTTCGCGACAGCAGCGCTTCGGTCGCGCCTTCGACGCGATCGATGCGCATGCTTTCGACTGCATCGAACGCGCGACCGAAGCGCTGCCGTCGCGAAGTCT